TCAGAGAGGGCGGAGGGGACGGACGCCCTTCGGAGCGTTTGGACCAAGGGCGTGCTCTATGCCTTCCCTCCTCTCCCACTGCTCCCAACGACTATTCGCAAGCTCTTACAAGAGCGAGCAGAGCTAATCTTAATTGCTTCTTTCTGGCCACGTCGGCCGTGGTTTGCAGATCTGGTCGATCTATCGCTCTCCCCACCATGGAGAATCCCTCCGGACCGAATAGCTCTCAGTCAAGGGAGCATCCAACATCCGGACCCTCAGTGGCTCCAACTAGCCGCTTGGCACTTGAGCGGGAAGGTCTAACTAGGTTAGCATATTCCCCTGGGGTAATATCTGTTATCCAGGCCTCCAGACGCCCATCCACCAATAGGATCTACGATGCCACTTGGAGAAATTTCTGTTCCTGGTGCAGGCAACAGCGTCTCTCTCCGCTATCGGTCACTATCCCGCACATATTAGAATATTTGCTTGAGGGACTAAATAGGGGTCTGTCAGTTAGCACAATACGTAGACAGGTAGCGGCATTATCGACTGTTCTCACTTGCGAGAACCATGATCCATTGTCTCAACACCCAGCGGTTGGTGCTTTCCTTAAAGGAGCTGCCAACACAGGTCCTCCTACGATCCATCGTTACCCGTCCTGGGATCTGCCCATGGTACTACAAGCGTTAACATCTTCTCCCTTTGAACCGCTCGGTTCATGCTCTCTCCACTTCCTCACTTCCTCACCTTCTTAGTGGCTATTACATCGGCCAGGAGGATTTCAGAGCTAGCCGCTCTATCTGTTAGGAAGGATCTCTGTATGTTCCACGAGGACAGGGTGGTCCTCAGGTTGGATCCGGCATTTATTCCCAAGGTTAATACAGGTTTTCATCGATCTCAAGACCTGGTACTTCCCAACTTCTGTCCTAACCCTTCCCATCGTTTGGAGAGAGGGTGGCACACCTTGGATGTGCGCAGGGCTCTGCGTCACTATCTCAAACGTACCTCGGCCTTCCACAAATTGGAAGCCTTATTCATCTCTTTCCATCCTTCTACGATGGGGAGGAAGGTTTCTTCTTCCACCATTGGACGGTGGATTAGGGCCTGTATCACGAAGGCGTATGTTTTGCAGTCCCTTCCAGTTCCTTCTCAGGTCACAGCTCATTCTACGCGTAGTGCTGCGGTTTCTGCAGCCTGGTCTACCCAGACCTCGCTTGAGATTTGCAGGGCAGCGACTTGGTCGTCCCCTTCTTCCTTCATTAAACATTATAACATTGATAGGTTTGCTGCTGCAGATGCGGCCTTCGGGAGGCGGGTCCTGCAACAAGTTGTTACTCCTCATGTTGACCAAGCCTAGACTTCCCTCCCTTCAGGGACATGAGCGGCTTTGGTATGTCCCATTCTGTGGACTCTACACCATCCTCTGCTGGAGAAAGGGGCGTTGTCTTACCTGAACGCCTTTTCTCAGCAGGATGGTGTAGAGTCCACATCCCCCCCTGTATTTCCTTGGTCTAGGCATGAGTTTTTTTGCCCCTTTTTTTCCTTTCAACTTTTGTTTGGGGCCTTGCGTCTGCATTCTTCGCCTCGACATGTACCAAAAACTGGGAAGACACACCCAGAGAGAGGCGTGGCAAGTTTTTTTGTCTTAGTCTGCTAAGCAGGAAGACTGAATTAACCCATTCTGTGGACTCTACACTATCTTGCTGAGAAAAGGCGTTCAGGTAAGACAACGCCCCTTTTACAAACTCATTTTATAAATACAAAACTACTTTAAAGTTTTCTTTCAATACATATATTTTAAACGTTGGAAAAACTAAAGAGATAATTGTCAATTTCAGAAAAGGCAGACATAGTCACACTCCTCTGTGTATTAATGATTCACCTATAGAGATGGTCAGCAGCCTCAAATTTCTGGGTGTGCAGCTAATGAGTAGGCTGGCTTGATCGCTCAACAGCGAGACACCAGTGAAGCAGGCACAGCAGCGCCTGCATTTTCTGCATCGCATGAGAAAAGTACATCTTCCTTCCCCTATCCTTACCACTTTTTATAGAGGGACGATCAAGAGCATCCTGTCATATTGCATTATAGTCTGGTTTGGAAGCATCACTGCTGCAGACAGAAAGGCAGTGCAGAGAGATGTGGAATTCCTTGGAGCTATTATTTTCATTTCTTCTAATTGTCTGGCATTTAATCTGTTCTCTAGGATATTTGTTAGGGTGGATTATTGCTATGAGTGTCAGAATAATTTGTCATTAGACATTCTTCTACTTATTTTAATCCAGATGCTCTCTACAGTATCACCATACTTTCCTTCTCTAGTCACATTTTATGAACTGGAAAGGTGAGAAGATCTGCAGAACAAAATTTTTGGAAGTTCTCTGTGATCTCTGCTTCTAGAATACATATTTTTTATGAGCTGATAAATCCAGTCAGCACACTTTTGACTTTTCTAGAAATCACCTAGCCTTTTTATTGTTCCATATTGTCTCTTTCTTTTGCTAAAGAACCAGAGCTGTTATGTAAACATACAACTTCTAACCTCTCAGGTTGTGATGGTTTTGCTTGCTTTCAGCTGAAGCTCCCAACAATGATAGTATATTTACTGGCAGGAGAGATACCATGATCATGATGGTATTCTCTAGGCAATTGGCCATTTGAAAATGAAAATAACTTTTAGAAAGCAGAGGAAGGCTATTAAAAAAGACTCCAAACATTGATCACCAACACAGTGGTGAGAAGACAATCTTTTCTCTAACATCATCACAAACATTGTCTGCAAAAATAACCCTTGATTAACTTGAAAGGTTTTAGAATAAAGTACTTGGGAGAGGTGAAACAGAAATTGATATATTTGGAGAAATGTATTTGGAAAAAGCAGGGTGAAGAATTTGAAAAAAATGAACCCCTTGCCTAGCTTTATGCATGAAGATGGGAATTTGGGGCTGTATGGTAGTCAGTGTCATAAGAAATACTGTGCAGGAAGAAGGAAGAATAGATTCCACCATGGATATCACCACGTCCTAAAAGCTAATAGCTCAGAATCAGAGATTGAAGCTGAAAATAAGTTGGATATTTCAGCAAGACAGTAATCTAAAACATACCATAAAGTATTTACAGGAAAAAAGAGACAAGTCCATAGACTTGAACATGGGGGATTTCAAACATTCAATGTCAGCAAGAAGAACCAAGAGAAAGAAGAACTCTACAGTGAAGAGTGCAATGAAAAATGCTCTTAACTGACTACAGGAAACCTTTGAAAAATGTATTTCTATAAAGGAGGTATCACAAAATATTGACTAGAAAATTTCTGAAAACTATCATATTATTTTTAAAGAGTTTGTGAACATATGTACAAGTTATTCAAACAGTGTAGACAAAAAATAATGTGCATTCAAATTTGCAGATAAATATATCACGTAATGGTTTTGTTGGTTTGTTAGTTAAGGGTTTATTGAAACATACAGTTTGACTATGGAGTGTCTAAATTTTTGCATATAATGTTACATCCTGAACATTCTAAATTTCAGTTCATTAGATACTGAATTTTTTATCTGCAAATTCTTTCCATTTTTTTATTTTTTTTCTAACTGCCCATGGTGCATTGAAATGCTGCATAGAAATCTAATATACGTCTAAAATTTCATGAGTCTTCATTTTTAAATACAGTATTAGAGATCTCATTACTAATGCAGAAATACATCATAATTTTATGACCCTCTGGAAAAGGAACGTTATTGACTCAGAGAAAAAAAATATATTCATGCCCCAATTTTGCATTCTAAAAGAAACAACCTTATATTTCTTTCTGCTTTTGAATGAGATGGCAGATGCTGAATGGTTTCCAGTTATATAAAGTTGAATGTATTCCAGGTTTTCTTCCAGCAAAACTGTTTTCTTTTTCAAGAATCTGGCTTAGAGCAGAGGGTGACCAAAACTGTAATAGTTAAATCATCATGTAAAACTTTGAGCAATTTGTTAATTCCAGAGGCTTCCTAATTCATTCATCAGGGGAAGGATTGTGTTAATTTCTAGGAGAGGCATTTACAAGAGGAGATATGTTTGTTATGAATTTGTTTTATGAGATATTATTTTAAAAAACCTTTTTCTTCCTCAAACAGCCTTTGGCTAATAACAGGTATGGGGCAGATAATTCTGGAATAATCATTTATTAAGGTCCTTTTTTACTTTTTTTGCTAAAGGTAAAGTTACCCTTGAATCCCTACCCTTAAATGCACACAGAATTATTATTTATTTATATGCACCATAACATTTCAAACAATAGTATAATAAAATGTTTTTATGATAATAAAAAGATGAAATGTGAAATGATGTGTTTGAAACACTTTCTAAAAGCAGAAACAATAAACAAGCAAAGATGACGTGCTACATAGTTTTGGAGCAACAGTGAAGCTTTTCTGCCATATAACCATGCAATTTTTCAGTTGGTTTTTTTCTTCTAGATCTGTCAACTTCTATGCTTATCAAAAAAGTAAAGGCAGTTCACTCTGCCTTCAACAAATTTCTTTCCTCACGTGTCTGTCCCACGTTTTCCTGCAGTAGGAATGAGTTCATCAGATTATAGCAGTTTAATGACTCTTTGATTGGGATTTTTTACTTTTTATCTTGGGCAAGTTCACTGTAGCATCTAGAGATTGGGAAGGGGGAATGAGCCCCTTCTCCTCACACAATTACATGAGACTGGTATCCTTATCGGGGCACTTTTGTCTATGCTAGCTATTTTGCTTCTTAAAGAATGGAAGTATACATGTAAGTATAGAATGCCCATTTCTGTGTTTTCCTTTCTGTGTAGTATTTGTAAGTCTAATGCTTTCTTTGCTGAACATGCTTAACATGACCCTTTCTCTTCCCTGCTTCTCTGGCTGACTGGCAGTTATTCACAATGTTTCCTGATTCTTCCCTATAGGAACTTCCATGCTTCTACTATATCAGCTCAGCATCTCCTGCTTTTCTAGCCTCCCCTTCACACTGGTGAATACCCTCTTCTTTTCTCCTTTAGAACTTTCACCTCATTGATTATCACCTGGCTGCATTCATCACAGTGATGTTGGCACGGAGGCTTGTATGGGCCCTCATCTCTGAGGTAATGATGATGATAATCTTTTCTAGTTTCAAGATACTCTAAATGAGTTAGTATGTCCTGTTTTTATTCTTTCTTTTGTAGTTCTTTCATTTATCCACCTTCAATAAAACATCTCTCAGTGTTAAATGTTACAGGTTGTCCTTGGGTTACGACAGCAATTTGGACTAGGATTGCTATCGCTGAGCAGTGCAGTCATAAAGCATAACATCATGTGACCTCACCACTTAGTGACAGCAATTCTGGACATTCCCGATTGCTGTCATAACCCCAAGACCCATGGGTTCTTAAAGAGGGAAGAGGCAGGAATCTCAGGTAAGTACACATGCAATGGGTATGGGAGACCTGGAAGAGCCAGTGCAGGACATGCACGAGTCAAGGGAGAACCAGCAAAGTCTGCACAGGAGGAGGGGGTTACTCTGGGCAAAAGAAAAGTCAGAGTGACTTACCAGAGCAACTTGTGATCTTGTCAGTTTCCCCATTGATTTTCTTATGGCAGGGGTGTCAAACTGCCGGCCCGTGGGCCGGGTGTATCATGATAAAACTGCACCCACCCCATTGCCGGCAATGGAAAAAAAAGTTGCGATACGTCACGACATGTCACATGACATTGCGAGTTTGACACCCCTGCCTTATGGGAAACCACCAGAGGTCACAAATGGCAGTCACGAGTACAGTTCCCTGTAAAGTTGTAATTGTAGCCCGGCACTTGGATTGTGATTACATCACTGCGAGGGTGCTGCGATAGCCAAAACCTCAAGGACTGGTCTACGTCCATTTTTTTCAGCACCTCTGTAACTCTGAACTGTCAGTGAACAAATGAATATAAGCCAAGGACTACCTATAATAAAATTAGTTACCAGATTACTTATGAAGCTGCTTTGCTTGGGATAAATGTTTGTAAAGTATCCCAAGTTATAGCTGATTGTAACTTACACAGTACACAATGCCCTTAGATTCCATGTTATTAAAGCAGCATGTAGAGCAAAGTTCAAGTTATTTCAGGCAACATTGATTTTGTAGGGGTCCTTGGTGCTCTCTGAGCTTGCTTCTTTTCTTAAATATGTTTCATTACCCAAACTAGGTAATATCACTGCTAGTAAAGAGTGGGGTTTGTTCTCCGTTTATATTGATTGTGCACAATATTAAATTGATCTAAGGAGTAAATGTTTAAGTCTAATCATGTTTACAGAAGGATAATTTTTGCAAGACTAGAAATAAGATGTTTTTCTGGTAAGGATGAAAGTGTTTCCTAGAGGTCTGTGTGAAAAGTTATTTCTTTGTCCAAGCATTTTGAGATGGGCTTCATGCCCCCAAATCCAAGCCACTTTGTAATGCAGATAGGATTGAATACACTGTCTATCACGATTGCAGTACTTGAATCTCAATTTTATTTTATGGCAGAAGTAGGCACTCTTTGCTTGAAGATGATACTTGTAGGGTAGGACGGGATACACTGTCCTGCCTTGAATCTGCAGGGCATTTCACTCTAAAGTGTTGACTTCACCAGAGTGAGCAGGACTGAAATGTTTGGAACTCTTTGGGGGTTTTCTGTTTTCTAGTGGAAGAAATTGGCCTGGTTTTTTTTAAAGGGGTTCTTCCCCTCTCGTCCCCAACTTTAAAATATAAAATTATTCCAAGTACAGCTGAGGTTCATGTGGTCCATGCCCAAACTCAGAGCATGTATGTTTTGAAAGTTTTGGTCTGCAGATAGAATGAAGCAGGACTGTTCTGCTTTGGATATGAAACAAAGTAGAGGCAAACCTGATTGAGATTTAGTAGTAAAAGAAGGGAAAAGCAAGGAAATTGTTGCTGGCAGCTGAAGGAATACATTCCCATGTCCAGCTTTTTTTTTTTTTTTTTTGCTCTGAACCAGAACATCTTTGAAACATTTGTGGGATATGAGGGAAGACTGTGGAGCTGATGGAATTCTGGGTTTAACTCTACAGGCCTCGCAGGTGGGTACTTCATCAATGATTCACGATATGGTATTGATTCTGGCACGTCTAGTTCTACTCACCCTTTGTGTATGGGTGCTCTGTTGGACTCTGGTCAACCTCTTCCGCAGCCATTCTGTCCTCAATCTCCTCTTTCTTGGCTACCCGTAAGTATCCGTATCTTTTGTCCTGAATGAACACTTTTGACCAATGAAGTCTGAGTATAGAACAATGGCTTCAAAGCTAATTCTTGAATTTTTGAGGAAAAATCATAAGGGAAGATTTGCCTGTTTCAGAACAATTTTTCCTGTTAATGTCTATTATACATCAAACTTTAATTGTTTAATCAGGAGACACTCAGTCCATCAGCTTCATACAAGATCAAGACAAAGAGGGAAAATACATATCAAATTGAATAGGAAAATGAGATAATTATCTGAGAAGCTACAGTGCTCCTTGATAGAAAATTCTATCTGATATTCATAGATGGGATGTGTCACAGATTATAATTTCACCCTGTCATTTTTCCTTTTTCAGGTTTGGTGTCTATGTTCCATTGTGCTGCTTCCACCAAGATAGTAGAAACCAGCCTCTTTCAACAGACTGCAGCTATTTAGTGCAGGATCAACTAGTGGATGATAGTGCCTCAGGGGTTGGCAGTCTTGTGAAGCCCAAAGATTTATTTTCTCTCCTGAGAGAATCTGTCAAAGAACAGTTCAACCCCTCTGTGACCACTCCAACGCACAGCTGTCCCTTGTCCCCAGATCTCATTCGCAATGAAGTGGAGGGCCTCAAAGCAGACTTTAACCGCCGAATCAAGGAAGTTCTATTCAATTCCCTCTTCAGTGCCTACTATGTGGCATTTCTGCCATTATGCTTTGTGAAGGTAGCTGTTCTTGTATTACTTTACTATTAGTATAAGTGCCACTCCACCTCCTAAATCTTGCCTGTAGATTGTTGGGGCAATGGACTTCTGGTTAATTCCCCTTTTCTCTGTCTCCCCTTTGGCAGCCTGGATGGCGGAGTGTAGCTGCATCTGGAGTGCCCTAGTATTGCTCCCCGTTGGAGGATAGGTATTGCCATACATGTAGTGCCCCTGTGGTTTTCCCAGACTTTTTTCCATCCCATTTACTAACCCTGTGCTCTTTTTCAAGACAATTATAACATGATTCTATTTTGTGCCATAATATACACTTGGTGCCCAATTCAGATCATAATTTGACAGTATCCAGATTATCAGCACTAAGACTTTAAATCAATCCAATTAGAATTGGGGAAAATAATGAGATCATTTCATAGATTTCAGAAGCTGTTCAGAATAATTCTAAAGGCAGAAATACAGGACTTACACTGTTAATTTAATTCTCTGTTTTTGAATAACAACATATTTTGAATCTATCATTTTACTATGAAATCCATAAGGACACATTTGTGTGAGCACTTTCTAGAAAGCTCAGGGAATTACATAGGAGTTGTAACACAAGAGAGTGTGCAGCCAATGTATATAATGCATTAAAATATGCGAGAAAGAAATGCCCAAGCTCCCCTAGTTTACTATCCTTGCAGTTTATAAGGAATTGTGTAATTACCACAGCCTGAAAAAGGAATTGGAAGGGATGTTGAAAGGCAAGGCCAAAATGGTCCCAGTGGTGGGTAGGAGGGAGCACTTGGATCTATGACTCAGCTGGGAGAGTGGTTCCAACAAATCCCAGGAACATCAGAGCTCTCTCCCCAGAAGAGTACTATGCTAGGAAGACTTAAGATACTGTGAAGACCCTCACATTCGCAAATCTCTGGTAGAGGACCCGAGATTGAGGAAGATAAATACTGCCCCATAGGAGTGAGAAGGAAATTGTTATATGTGTATTATTGCAGAACATCATCTTACTGCTTCTGAGGTAGTTGGGATGCTCTTGTTAATTTATTCTCTGGTTTCTTGCAGAGCACTCAGTATTATGATATGCGCTGGTCATGTGAGCACCTCATCATGGTTTGGATCAATGCTTTTGTCATGCTCACCACACAACTGCTTCCTCCCAAGTATTGTGACTTGCTACACAGATCAGCTGCTCACTTGGGCAAGTGGCAGAAGCTGGAACATGGTTCATATAGTAATGCCCCTCAACACATGTGAGTTTGTAGTCATAACACTTTTTTTGAGGGCTGTAGGAATTTTGGAAAGACTCCTCCTTGTAAGTTGCACTTACTGAGCTTTCTGAGACTTATGTTTTCTTATTATAAGTGTTGTATTTTCATTTATAAGATTCACTGTTAGCAGAATATGTTTTTGATAGGTTTTTGTGTCTTCACAAAGTTAGCTAGCTTGCCAAAGTTCAAATGCAGAAAGTGTAATTTCTAGGCCTACGTACCAAACAAAAACTGCTGAAGACACTCTTCCTAGCAAAAACTTTAGAAGCCCAGTGCCAACTCCAAGAATACTCCTTGGCTCTTGCATTTTGACCATTCAGATACAATTTCAACTTTACCTACCTTCAAATTTGGAGTGATCAGCAATTTTATCCTTTCAATAACTATAAAAGCTTCCAACATTCCATGCAATTGAGTGGAATGGCTCAGTCCTCTTCCTGACTGCAAAATGAAGGCAGGCAGGACTTTTGCTTAGGAAAGAACAGTGTCTTATAAATATTTAAGGTTTGTTGAAAACTAAAGCAAAATATTGTAAGTTAAAAGACAAACTGGGGAGAAGGGCCGAAGTACATTTTACAGGGAAAAAAACGTACAAATTCCATTTACCCCTAAATGAAACTCCTAAGGTTTGAATGGATTCCTGAGATGGAAACCATAAATTTGAATATATGGTAGAAGCTTTTAATAAAAAGCAATTGGATTTGCTGATTTTCNTTTCCATTGTTTTAAATATTAAAAAAACATGGAAAATAAATATTATCATTATAAAATGTAACAGGTTACCAAGAACTTTTACATAGTGCAATTAGTAGTAGAGAATTTTTATCAAATTTGAATGAGAGAAATAAATTTGAACACTCAAAGAAGGAACATTCAGTGATTTTTTAACAGTAAACAGGAAGGAGTGGTTACTTCTAGTTTAATTTAATTTGAGTTAGAATTAGGATTTCCATTTCTACTGAAATCTCTGTTATGCTTATCCCAAAGATGCTTTTTCACAAGGCAACTGGACTTTTTTTTTTCTTTGAAGACGTTTCGCTTCTCGTCCAAGAAGCTTCTTCAGCTCTATTATGCTTGTTGAACAAAGATAAAAGTTCTAAAACTAGAGAAGTTTAAATATAAGGCATATAAAAGGCATCTACATTTATTTAATGAAATTATTCATCTGGTTTTGCTTTCTGGTAATAATGAAATCTTTTTCTTTGTCCATAGCTGGTCTGAGAGCACAATATGGCCACAAGGAGTGCTAGTACGACATAGTCGATGCTTATATAAAGCAGTGGGACCTTATAATGTAGCTGTGCCTTCAGATGTGTCTCATGCTCGCTTTTACGTAAGTATATAGTGGATTATTGAAGGTCTAAAAATAAAATACTTCCTACCATGAGATTAAAAGATTTCTGTTCTTTTACAACAACAAATCATTAATAATTAGCATAGGTTGGAGGAATCTTGTTAATAAAACGTGGCTCTTCCTTGCTATTCAGAGATAATGCTGCTAATAAGTTCTATAAACATACATTTTGTTTCCTTTTCTAGTTCCTCTTCCACCATCCCTTACGGCTTCTCAATCTGCTGATTCTCATAGAAGGCAGTGTGGTCTGTTATCAACTCTACTCCTTGCTTCGCTCAGAGAAGTGGAACCATACACTCTCCGTGGCCCTGATACTCTTCTGCAACTACTATGTCCTATTTAAACTCCTGAGGGACCGAATAGTATTGGGCAAGGCCTATTCTTATCCACTCAACAGCTATGGGTTAAAAGCCCATTAGTCATCTGAGGAAGGGAAGGATATTTTCATACAGTTATATTTTTTTTCCTTGCAACTGTTTATAAATATTTAAAAAAATATTTTATATTTTGTATACTACTGTTTTTTGTGGGGCAGGGAAGGGCCAAGTGGCAGTTAAATGTCGCTTTATAAACAAGGTTATTTTATATAAAGACATCATTGTGTTTATACTGTATATCAACATATATCTATGTGAAGCAAGAGCTTTGTATGTGTGGTCCCTCTATTTACTGTGCATGCAGGTTAGCCATCATAAAACTCAGTTTTACATATAGGACTTGACTATTTGCTATACATCTAGCCAAAGGTGGCCATTACTTACAGTTATTATGGACAAGACATGGGCAACTTCCTGGGTCCCATTTTAAGGTCACTAACTTTTTAAAAGATCATGCCATCAAAAACCCTTGCCAAATTTTTTACAGTATATTTAAAGCATTAAAATGGTAATGGTGTGCTTCAGTTTGTTTTAAACTTCTTTACATGACAGAAAACTCCAGCCCCCTCAAATTTAAAGAATAATTTTAGTAAGCAGCATAGAGTAATAAAATAAAATAGTATTCAACATCACATAGTGCAATAGGCAAAATCATTTGTTTTTGCACATTATTAAACTATATTCTCAAAGTGATGTCCAACTTGCATGGGATTCCTTAGCAGGCAAGGAAGGAAGATAAACTAGTTTAGCACACCTTTTATATTGCTATTTAACAGAATATCAGAATAACGTTGGAAAGGATCTTGGAGGTCTTCTAGTCCAATCCCCTGTTCAAGCAGAAGGCCCTATATTATTTCAGACAAATGGTTGTCCAATCTCTTCTTAAATCCTCCAATGTTGGAGTAACCACAATTTCAATATTAAACTGCATCCTCAAAGTTTTCAATACTTTGTTCTGCAACAGAGTAATCCAACTAGGGCTCATGGTCATCTTCTTTGGCAGTATTTTTAATTAAAAAGAATTAAATGAGGCTGGCCTCTGCAAACTACTAGACTTGAGTAACATCTAGGAATGTTCAGAGCTCTTAAGGCATCTTAGAAAGAAAGCTTAGTCCCTCTTTTTGAAGGTATATCCATAGGCCCAGAAGTAAGGATAAATCAAGTACTTGTTCTGGGATCTGAATGTTTTGTGACTAATCATAACAGCTGTTTTGTAAAACATTCTGTGAATTAAGAGTTACCAAATGTGAACAGCAAACATCTAGATGGCTACTAGATGGCAACACAAAACTGGATAACACTCTTACCTCAAGATTTTACAGTCTGGATCAGATAACCTGTCACGGAATGCCAGCTAGACCTTCTACCACATAATAGTTACCTCTCCCTTACTTTAATGAATATTTTTTTACAGGTCTCTAGTTAAAATACCATACAAAATTATTAGACTTTGGGTAGATGACAGGGTACACAGGAGAAAATATGAGCTCTATAGAATTGCAGAGCAAAATGAGAACTAAATTACAGCCTTTTCTAATAGAAATATGTTAAGCACCTTATCATTTTTTTTTCCAAAGTGAAAAGAACATAGACAAATTGGGAATGAGGATTAAGTCCTCCTCTGTAGTAGTTTATGTATGCAAAATCTTAATCTTATTTATTTTCTCTAATGGAATTACAAGCGTGATAATCACAAGCCTGATTACTTTTACTTCCTACTTATAGATATTGCTTGTTTTTCTGGGATATATTCTTGGCCATACTGCATTATGGCAAAATGTTTAGTAGCAAAATAAAACCCACATGCACAAACAAACAAAAAACTACAGAAATACCATTTAAAATACATAAAAAAGCAGGAAAAATAATGTTGTGAGAGATTGAGAATCCTTTTTGGGTGCCCTTGTCCCAGTAGTATTACGAAATTTGACCATAATGAAGAATGATTTTTCTCCATAATACACACACACACACACACACACACACCCCTAAACCTTGCAGGGAGAATGGTTTCCATTTTTCCTGTTTATTGGATTAGTCTATGCCATAGTGATTTTGACAGTTTTTGCAAAGATAAATTCAGGTAGTCCTCAATGTACAACCACAATTGAGCCCAAATTTTTTGTTGCTAAGTGAAGCATTTGTTAAGTGAATTTTGCCTCATTTTACAGCCTTTTATGCCATTGTTATTGTGAATCTGCAGTTGTTAAATTAGTAACACGCTTCTTAAATTAATCTTACTTCCCCATTGACTTTGCTTGTAAGATCATAAAAGGTGATCACATGATCCCAGGACTGCAACCATGATAAATATGAGTCAATTGCCAAGCATCCAAATTTTGATAATGTGACTGTGGAGGTACTGCAACGTTCATAAGTGTGAAAAATTGTCATGTCACTTTTTTCAGTGCTATTGTAACTTTGAACGGTTACAAATGAACTGTTTTAAGTCGAGGACTACCTGTAAACTAAGGGCTTTATATTTACCTTATACCAGAATACTTTATTTAGGTTGAAGAACAGAAAGGCTTTTCTAGGAAACCAGTCTTTCTCTTACAATATTAACAATACAGTATACCATTATTAAGGAGGACAGAATTGTAACTTTCAATCTGATAGTCACAAATTTTGTGAACATTTACAAAAGAATGGATAAAGGAAAATAGTTGCTTGCTTACAGAAGCTTACTCCCTCATATTGTTCAATTTAACATTAATTTGAGACCACCACTCCTAAATTCAAGGAAACCTCCACAATCTTTGTACTCCCTCCTCCTGCCCATTGAAAACAGCCTATTGCAGTGATGGCGAACCTTTTAGAGACCGAGTGCCCAAACTGCAACCCAAAACCCACTTATGCATTGTCGAGTGCCGGGTGGGTGTGGCCCATTGGGTGGGTGTGGCCCATTGGGTGGGCATGGCTGCGGTGGTAACAGCAGACTGGGTGGGACTAAAAAGTTCAATCAATTCCAACTTTGCAAGATCTTTTTTTTCCGCGAGAAGTTGAAATTGACTGATTGATTGAACCTTTTTTTTTTTGTACATGGCGACGGAAGCCTAAAGCGAAAAGGTTTTATAAAACCCAACTGAAGGCCTAGGACTGGGTGGACGGTGCGCGTGCCCACAGAGAGGGCTCTGAGTGCCGCCTCTGGCACCCGTGCCATAGGTTCGCCACCACTGGCCTATTGTGTAAGGTAAGGCTGAAAAAAATGCTCCATTCTAATAGTGTAAACATCTACTAAAAATGTGGTGCCAGATCCAATCCAGGGTTTGAACTCTCCCACTTCATTCCACTGATAACTTCAAAACCAAAAGTCAGTCTAATCTGGTGATTATTATGACAGCACTTGCAACTATCCTAAGATTATTTCTGAAAAAAAATATCATGTCTTCAGTATTGTTTGCCCTAATGCTAGCTTGGTTCAGAATGATAATGTGTATGTTATTTACAGCGGCTTCTTAAGTACAATTTTGAGGCATGTCCAGACTTCAAATTAAAAATATTAATCTTTGGAAAACTGCCACACCAATCCTGAGAATGGCCACATTCACATGATCAGGAAAAGAAATGGCACTTTCCAGAATTTTCTGAATATTATATTAATTTTATCTCAAACTCTGGGATAAGTGAACAAATCCATTGCATGTAATATTATATTATTGATGGCAATATTTTCAATATTGCCAATAAGCTCAATATTCTCAATATTTTCCATCATATTTTCTGAATCAATTGCTTTCTGTCACTTTGAAAAGGAACACAGATGCACAAGCCTATAGGAACTGGTAAAATGTTTTCCTTTCATTTTGATGCAAGAAATTAATGTTCTGCTGAACTATAAAGAAATACAGTTGTGTAATATCACTAGAGGGTATATATTGTTAGAGTTTTGTCAAGAGTTGGGTTTTTTAAAAAAATCTGTAAATGCCCATCACCCTTTCTAAGAAAGTCTATTTTCCATGCAAGAAACATACCAAGAATAATACTATGCTATTTTATACACACACACACAAACACAAATGAATGCAAATGTCACATACAGTATTTAATGTGCGTTCAAACAAATTGTATTTGAATAGAATCTGCTCCATTCCAAAAATCTGCAGCATCTGAATGTTTATAAACAATTGATATCAGTATAAATTGTAAACACTGCAGACACCTACAGAACTCTACATCCTTTAGTAAGTTACCGTTTCTTTCCAATTTAATTTTCTCTGCATTTTTTATGGGAGCTAGTGAATCTGTCCTGAAAACATTTCTAACTCTTCCTTTAAGCCATTCATATTCTAAACAGACAACTGTATTGGAACTGGAAGTGTTAAGGAATTTTGAAGCTAGCCATATTATCTCAGAATATCATAGTAAATTATTGGTTTAACCAGTGTACCACGAAATTGCTCCAGTTTTAGGCCTATCTGGAACAGCAATTCTTCATTCCACCACTTTGTCATCACCTGTGAAAGAAGCAGCAAGATACCTATGAGAAACTGCTGAGATACTTTACCTTCTTAGGATATATCTGAAGGGGGAAGTGATAGTTGCTATAAGCTCATTTGATCTCTGGCTGTAAAAAGAGCTTTGAGACATTGGGTGTAAAACAATTAGGACCAAAGGAGAACTAGACAAACTTGAAAATCATTACTACAATTATTTGTGCAACAATTACAAAAGTGCTTTCCCTAAGTATAGCTAGTCCTCAACTTACAACAATTCACTTAGTGACCGTTCAAAGTTACAACAGCACTGAAAAAAGTGACATGACCATTTTTCACACTTACAACCATTACAGCATCCCCACGGTCACATGATTTACATTTGGATATTTGACAACTGACTCACATTTATGATAGTTGCAGTGCCCCAGGGTCATGTGATCACCTTTAGCAACCTGACAAGCAAAGTCAATGGGGAAATCAGATTAACGTAACGGTGTTACTAATTTAACAACTGCAATGATTCATTTAACAAATGTAAGGAAAATGGCGCCTTCATGGATTACTGCCTTGTCGTGGCAAAAGTGCTTGCGTAACTCAATGAAGCTATGAGCTATGCCAGTGGTGGCGAACCTATGGCACGCGTGCCACAGGTGGCACGCAGAGCCATTCCTGCCTCCCTCCTCTTTGCGCATGCGCAGTTTTTTTCTATATAAACTAAGGAAGTTTCGGTTTCGGAGCACATGGCAGAAAGCGAGACAGAACAAGCGGCAGAAAGCGAGACAGAACAAGCAGCAGAAAGCAAGAGAGAGAACAAGTAAAAGCGGTAAGTTTCATCTCTGGCCTGCCGCTGAGCTTCCTCTGCTTGGCCACCGGACACCCCAGCGGCCCCAGAA